GTAGGATATCCAGGTATTTGCTCTCCTGGACGTGGTGGTACTCCGGGGGGATATCCTGGAACAGCCTCACCTGGCCTTGGCGGCGCACCGGATGGTACTGGATATCCTGGTACTGCTTCACCTGGTCTTATTTGTGCACCAGCGGCAGCTTCCCCAGGTCTCAATGGTACACCAGGTGGGTATCTTGGGACTGGTTCTCCAGGTTGCGGAGGAGCACCAGGTGGATATCCTGGAACAGCTTCTCCTGGTCTTGGTTGTACTCCAGGTGGATATCCTTCCCCAGGTCTAGGTGGTGCGCCAGGTGGATACCCGGGAACTGGTTCTCCTGGATGTGGTGGAGCACCTGGAGGATATCCTGGAACAGCTTCTCCAGGTCGTGGTGCGGCTCCGGGAGGATATCCTGGAACGGCTTCTCCTGGTCGTGGTTGTACTCCAGGGGGATATCCTTTTGCGGCTTCCCCAGGTCTAGGTGATGCGTCAGGTGGATACCCGGGAACTGGTTCTCCTGGACGTGGTGGAGCACCTGGAGGATATCCGGGAACCGCTTCCCCAGGTCGAAGGGGGGCTCCGGAAGGATATCCTGGAACGGCTTCTCCTGGTCGTGGTTGTACTGCAGGGGGATATCCTTTGGCGGCATCCCCAGGTCTAGGTGGTGCGCCAGCTGGATACCCGGGAACTGGTTCTCCTGGACGTGGTGGAGCACCTGGAGGATATCCTGGAACAGATTCCCCAGGTCGAAGGGGGGCTCCGGGAGGATACCCTGGAACGGCTTCCCCTGGTCTTGGTTGTACTCCAGGGGGATATCCTTTGGCGGCTTCCCCAGGCCTAAGTGGTGCGCCAGGTGGATATCCGGGAACTGGTTCTCCTGGACGTGGTGGAGCACCTGGAGGATATCCGGGAACAGCTTCCCCAGGTCGAGGGGGGGCTCCGGGAGGATATCCTGGAACGGCTTCTCCTGGTCGTGGTTGTACTCCAGGGGGATATCCTTTGGCGGCATCACCAGGTCTAGGTGGTGCGCCAGGTGGATACCCGGGAACTGGTTCTCCTGGACGTGGTGGAGCCCCTGGAGGATATCCTGGAACGGCTTCTCCTGGTCGTGGGGGAGCCCCTGGAGGATAACCTGGGACAGCTTCTCCAGGTCGTGGGGGGGCAACGGGAGGATATCCTGGAACGGCTTCCCCCGGTCTTGGTTGAACTCCAGGGGGATATCCTTTGGCGGCTTCACCAGGTCTAGGTGGTACGCCAGGTGGATATCCGGGAACTGTTTCTCCTGGACGTGGGGGAGCCCCAGGAGGATATCCTGGAACAGCTTCTCCAGGAGGTGGGGGAGCACCTGGAGGATATCCAGGAACAGCTTCTCCAGGTCGTGTGGGGGCTCCGGGAGGATATCCTGGAACGGCTTCTCCCGGTCTTGGTTGAACTCCAGGGGGATAACCTTTGGCGGCTTCACCAGGTCTAGGTGGTGCGCCAGGTGGATATCCGGGAACTGGTTCCCCTGGACGTGGAGGAGCCCCAGGAGGATATCCTGGAACGGCTTCTCCTGGTCGTGGGGGAGCTCCCGGAGGATATCCTGGTACAGCTTCTCCAGGTCGTGGCGGAGCACCTGGGGGATATCCTGGCACAGCTTCTCCAGGTCGTTGGGGGGCTCCGGGAGGATATCCTGGAACGGCTTCTCCTGGTCGTGGTTGTACTCCAGGGGGATATCCTTTGGCGGCTTCGCCAGGTCTAGGTGGTGCACCAGGTGGATACCCGGGAACTGGTTCTCCTGGACGTGGAGGAGCACCTGGAGGATATCCTGGAAGGGCTTCTCCTGGTCGTGGGGGAGCTCCCGGAGGATATCCAGGAACAGCTTCTCCAGGTCGTGGGGGAGCACCTGGGGGATATCCTGGTACAGCTTCTCCAGGTCTAGGGGCGGCTCCGGGAGGATATCCAGGAACGGCTTCTCCTGGTCGTGGTTGTACTCCAGGGGGATATCCTTTGGTGGCTTCGCCAGGTCTAGGTGGTGCGCCAGGTGGATATCCGGGGACTGGTTCTCCTGGACGTGGCGGAGCTCCTGGAGGATACGCTGGAACGGCTTCTCCTGGTCGTGGGGGAGCTCCATGAGGATATCCTGGAACAGCTTCTCCAGGTCGAGGGGGAGCTCCAGTGGGATATCCTGGAACGGCTTCTCCTGGTCGTGGAGGAGCTCCAGGGGGATATCCTGGAACGGCTTCTCCGGGTCGTAGTTTTACTCCAGGAGGATATTCGGTGGCGGCTTCACCAGGTCTAGTTGGTGCGCCAGGTGGATACCCGGGAACTGGTTCTCCTGGACGTGTGGGAGCACCTGGGGGATATCCTGGTACAGCTTCTCCAGGTCGTGCGGCGGCTCCTGGAGGATATCCTGGAACGGCTTCTCCTGATCTCGGTTGTACTCCAGGGGGATAACCCGTTATAGCTTCGCCGGGTCTAGGTGTTGCGCCAGGTGGATATCCGGGAACTGCTTCTCCCGGTCTTGGTGGAGCTCCGGGCGGATATCCTGGAACAGCTTCTCCTGGTCGTGGTTGGACTCCAGGGGGATATCCACGGATTGCTTCACCGGGTCTAGGGGGTGCCCCCGGCGGGTATCCAGGAACTGGTTCTCCTGGGCGTGGAGGGGCCCCTGGAGGATATCCTGGAACTGCTTCCCCAGGTCGTTGGGGTACACCTTGAGGATATCCTGGAATAGCTTCTCCCGCTCGTGGTGGTGCACCAGGAGGATGTCCTGGAACAGTTTCTCCTGGCCTGGGTTGTACTCCAGGGGGATATCCTCGTATTGCTTCTCCCGGCCTCGGTGCTGCGCCTGGAGGGTATCCGGGAACTTGTTCTCCTGGTCGTGGGGGAGCACCGGAAGGATATCCTGGAACGGTTTCTCCTGGTCGTGGGGGAGCCCCTGGGGGATATCCTGAAACGGCTTCTCCTGGTCGCGCGGGTGCTCCTGGGGTTACGCCGGGCGGATATCCTGGGATTGCTTCTCCTGGTCTTGGTTGTACTCCAGGTGGATATCCGGAAATAGGTTCTCCGGGTCTAGGTGGTGCGCCTGGCGGGTATCCAGGAACTGTTTCTCCCGGACGTGGAGGAGCACCCGCCGGATATCCTGGAACAGCTTCTCCAGGTCGTGGAGGAGCTCCGGGAGGATATCCTGGGATTGCGTCCCCTGGTCTTGGTTGTACTCCAGGGGGATATCCGGGGATACGTTCTCCCGGTCTAGGAGGTGCGCCTGGCGGGTATCCAGGAACTGGTTCGCCTGGTCGTGGAGGTGCCGCAGAAGGATATCCAGGTACAGCTTCTCCAGGTCGTGGGGGAGCTCCGGGTGGATATCCTGGAACAGCTTCTCCTGGTCTTGGTTGTACTCCAGGGGGATATCCACGGATTGCTTCTCCGGGTCTAGGTTGTGCACCTGGTGGGTATCCGGGAACTGGTTCTCCAGGACGTGGAGGAGCCCCGGGAGGATATCCAGGAACAGCTTCTCCAGGACGTGGGGGAACTCCGGGAGGATATCCTGGCAGAGCTTCTCCTGGTCTTGGTTGTATTCCAGGGGGATACCCAGTTATAGCTTCTCCAGGTCTAGGTGGTGCGCCTGGCGGGTATCCGGGAACTGGTTCTCCTGGTCGTGGGGGAGCCCCGGGAGGATATCCTGGAACAGCTTCTCCCGGTCGTGGTTGTACTCCAGGGGGATATCCACGGATTGCTTCGCCGGGTCTGGGTGGTGCGCCAGGCGGGTATCCGGGAACTGGTTCCCCTGGTCGTGGAGGAGCTCCGGGAGGATATCCTGGCACAGCTTCTCCTGGCCTCAGTGGGACTCCAGGGGGATATCCACCGGGTCTAGGTGGTGCGCCAGGCGAGTATCCGGGAACTGGTTCTCCTGGTCGTGGGGGTGCCCCTGGAGGATATCCTGGGACGGCTTCTCCTGGTCGTGGGGGAGCACCTGGAGGATATCCTGGAACTGCTTCTCCTGGTCGTGGGGGAGCTCCGGATGGATATCCTGGAACAGCTTCTCCTGGTCTTGGTTGTACTCCAGGGGGATATCCACGGATTGCTTCTCCGGGTCTAGGTGGTGCGCCTGGTGGGTATCCGGGTACTGGTTCTCCTGGTCGTGTTGGTGCCCCTGGAGGATATCCTGGAACGGCTTCTCCTGGTCGTGGGGGAGCTCCGGGAGGATATCCTGCAACGGCTTCTCCTGGTCGTGCGGGTGCTCCTGGAGGATAACCTGGAACAGCTTCTCCAGGTCTTTGGGGTGCTCCGGGAGGATATCCTGGAACAGCTTCTCCTGGTCTTGGTTGTACTCCAGGGGGATATCCACGGATTGCTTCTCCGGGTCTAGGTGGTGCGCCTGGTGGGTATCCGGGAACTGGTTCTCCAGGACGTGGAGGAGCCCCCGGAGGATATCCTGGAACAGCTTCTCCAGGTCGTGGGGGAGCTCCGGGAGGATATCCTGGCACAGTTTCTCCTGGTCTTGGTTGTACTCCAGGGGGATATCCAGGTATGGCTTCTCCGGGTCTAGGTGGTGCGCCTGGCGGATATCCGGGAACTGGTTCCCCTGGTCGTGGAGGAGCTCCGGGTGGATATCCTGGCACAGCTTCTCCTGGTCTTGGTTGTACTCCGGGGGGATATCCAGGTATGGCTTCTCCGGGTCTTGGTGGTGCGCCTGGCGGGTATCCGGGTACTGGTTCTCCTGGTTTTGTTGGATATGTGGGTGCCCCTGGTTGGTAACCTGGTTCTCCTGGGGCAGGTGGATATCCTGGTATTGGTTCTCCTGGGCGCGTCGGTGCCATTTGTACGTATGGTTCTGCAGGTCTTGACGGTGCTTGTGGTTCTGTGGCTCTAGTTGCCGGCACTGGAGCGCCAACAGCAGCCGCTGGGGGAGCTCCGGGTGGTCTGTGAGGTATGGGTGCCGTGGGTTTTGATGGGGGTGCAGGTGGCGCTGTCGGTTTAGCTGCTGCCGGTGGTGGTTTGGCGGGCGGTGCTGCTGCTGCTGCTGCTGGTTTGGCAGGAGGTGCTGCTGGTTTGGCTGCAGGTGCAGCTGCGGGCTTTGCTCCAGGTGTTGGTGACGGTTTTGGAGCTGCCGCTGCTGCTGGTGTTTTCTCCAAAACTGCACCTTTTTCGTGAACTGTGTTTACTCGAGTTTCGGGAACTTTAACAATTTGCGCATCAGGTTCTTTTGGTGGTTCATGTCGAAATGGCATTACCACAACTACTGTCTCTTTTCTCTTGTCTGGTTCTCTCGTCACTTTTACAGTTTCTGGAAAAATGAAGTTTTTAGTGATTTAGTTTTTGAATGAACTTAAATTTAACTTAGTTTAGGTTTCGATAATATTTGTTATTGGCTTATCTACCTTCATGATTAAATTTCTAAAATGTTTTTTCCACGTCATGTTTTGGGTTGTCTTCTCTTGTTAAAATTAATCGAATATGCATTACTAGACATTTATGATTAATAGTAAAAATCCAAATAATATATATTTTGGGCAAGTTTTCTTATTCTATAGTTCTATATACATTAAAAAATTAAAAGTGTTTGTAAAATTGAATAAAAACAAACTTAAAGAGAAGGCACACTTAAATACAGGAGAAAATGCCTTAGGCACTATTTGGAATAAAACCCTTATTGAGTTATACACATCACACACTTTTTCTCGCCTTAGAAACTTTGCAAACAGAACTTTCTGAGGCAATAACTTATATTGTATTTTCCAACATTTGTATTTAACTTGTTAACATCTGACGGCAAAACCACTCACGATTGTCATAGAAAAACAACATAAGGAGATTAGTGATAATAATTTACTTAATAAAAAAATAAACAACACTCCTCTCAAATAAAATTATTATTAGACAGATGCTCTACGCAACTCTTTTTCGTAGTCGGCAAAACAGCCTAGGCCCCTGTGTATTTACCTTGCTAAAGCTCTCCGACCGCTTAAAATCGCATTTCTGGATTCAATGGAATAGAAGAAGTAATCCCAACTTGCCCAGTTCTTTTAGTTCATAGTTATTATTTGAATTTATTTCATGATGTCTTCTGTGAAATATATCCTCCATACGAACTCGATGCTTATTTTGTGTTAACATAAAATAAGCCGGAATAGGCCAATTTTTCGTACAAGGCAAATGGACTGACGCACAGACAGACGTTTCGCCATCAATTCATTTTTCGGTATCCAGGGCACACAAAAATCGATTTTAACACACAATAATGCTGGCATGCGAGAGAGCCTGGCCTACGAGTAATTGAATCGGAGGTCGCTATTACAGAGGGATATCTCCGATTCATGAGATGGAGGAAAAACCGGAATCGGAGGAACCGGAGGTCCGGTTGCACTCGTTCACGCGGAAGAACTTGCTCAATTTACTGTGCCAATCAAAATGTACATACTTATTTGTTGGTTACCGGTCTGAGCTTGATGTATTACGCATAGGGAATAAAATAGGCAAGCAATTTCGACACAATTTGTGCTTCCTTTCTGTAGTTAACATAATATTTTACTAAAATGTAATAATAATAATAATAATAATAATAATAATAATAATAATAATTTGTATGTACAGTATTGGTACGCATATGTCATAAATAAGTTAATTTACAAACTATTCGTATTTCTAAGTGTTATTTTATGTTATTTTATCCACCGTGCCTTTAACCCGGAGAAGTTAGATAAAGCCATGGACGTGCGTAGGAGTCAATATTCCGGGCGGCGACGCTCCACGGGTAACCTGAGCCACATCAGCTCAGAAGGTAATTCTTCCTCATACATCGAGTGTGTAAATCAGAAATTCCTGCTCGTTTATGGGCCTGTCGCGTTATGAAAATATCATTTGATTCGCGGAAATACACGAGACAGGAAAATGTGAGATATTTGAATTTTGCTGTCAAAAATCAACCGGAGGTAATTCGGAGGCTCCGATTGACAAGACGAAAAAGGATCGGAAGGATCACTCAGTGGCCAGCACTACCACACAACGTGTTAAAGGAAGGAATGTGCTATGTGTGTGTGTGTGTGTGTGTGTGTATGTGTCTGTGTGTGTGTGTGTGTGTGAATCATTCACTTTTACTTCTCTTATCACTCTTACTTCTGAATAAGATTCTCGCACTAACTTCATAAGAAGATAAATTATTGTAATTTTGTGACAAAACGTGGGAACAGAAAACCTCTCATTTCAGGGCCGTGGTAACTAGAAAGTGGATAAATCTTGTTCCTCAGAATAGTAAATTAATTCTTCCAACACGTTGTGTTGTCAGAATCCACGGTTTGTGGGTCTTGATACCGAAAAATCGACCGTGTTAAAACGTATGTCTGTCAGTCCCTTCCTCCGTAAGTCTGTGGTCAATGCTACTGCCTAAATCGTCCAGCCTCTTTTCTTCAAACTGATATTCACCTATTGACTTTAATGCTAGTCTTTAAATTGTTAGGCTTCAGGGAATGCCAGATTGGAATAGAACAATGGCTTTCCCCGTGGAGACAGCTGAATTTCTGAGAATTACATCTTAGTATTGGAACATCATTTAGCAGTATGAAAAGTAGTTATAATTTTCAAATTTGATTTAGTATTTGCTTAAAAATATTTATTTTTGCACCAAATGTCCTACTATTTGAATTGGGTTTAACAAAAATGACTTCGATGCGTTAATTTAGAGACAAACTGTGGTAAAAAAGTATTACATAACCATTACCAAGGCGAGAAAGTACGTGCTGTATTCGCACCACTAGTTTAGTTACATCACATCATTTACTGTACGTTAGTATTCACAACATTCTTTTATTGTTTCATGCACAAGCACAAAGTTTAGTTTTATGAAATCGACACTCTTTTGTCGTGTTATATAAGTCATAAATTGTGTACTTGTACATTTTATTCAATTTTGAGATCTGTAAATAAACATTGGGAAATATATTTCTTTTCCTTAGGTTGTCGTTGATTAGCGGTAGTTAAAATCAAATTTAATCAGATTTTAATAAAATTCAAATTAATATTTAAATGAAATTTAAACACAACTTTTTAACAGATTTTTTATGTTTTATTTGCACCTACTGTATTTTTACTTTCGCACTAAGGAGTAACGAGAAAGTTCTGTAATCTGCGCGAAAAAACGGCGAATTTTCGGCAGAAAAACTCTTATTGCCGGTCCTTGATTACGTAAAGGTGGTTAAAACCAGTTACTAAATTTAGAGAAAAAACTGACACGTGGTGTAGCAAGAATACATGTTTTATGGGTCCTTGTTATCGAAAATCGAATGATGGCACAACATCTGGCAGAACGGCCAGCCGGCAGTGTCCTTCCGTCTGTGAACAACGGTGGCGGTTAAAAAGATAAGCCGATTTTCTCCAAAATTGATATTCCCTGAACGATCTGGCTGATGTTGCCAGTATTTGAAACCGATTTTTTAATTTTGGGCTGCGACATTTTCTACATTTAAAAAATGGATTCATCGTTTCTTATTACAAGTTGATACAGTGAAGGACGTTTCAGAGAATGATGTAGTTCTCATTTTCGTTAATAACCCTAATTTTTCGAAAATTGCAAAAATCCAACATTTTCTGGCGTCTTCCTTCAACTGAAATTATGAAGATAGCGATTTTCCCTTAATTAAATATGTTCCTTAAAGATAGATTTTGAAATAAGGTTATGTACAATTCGAAAACTTGAATAATTGTCGAGTAATGTTGCATGAAAGTATGGGTGATAAAGTATGGGCTGTTTTAGCACCACTAAGTTTCAAACAAAGTAACAAATCAACATTCGTAAAAATTAAACAAAGATTAACATATTATTAATGAAGTTCTAATCTTGTTCTTTTGTAAAACAAATTAGGCAAAATGATTACATTTAAGGTATGAAAATTACTTAAGCCAACATTAAATGAAATCACGCTCTTCATATACTTAAATCCAGAATTGCCGACTAATGATTGCATATGAATGGGTTTCTGTGCTAAAAATTGAAGCGTTATTGAACATACTGGCAAAATGTCGTGTAATGCACATATTTAATTCTCATTATCGCTCTTTTCAAAATTACTTTTCTAATAAATGAGCACTAATAAATGTAATAGATAATAAGAACAAAGAGCACATAAATCTGCAAAACTTTTCATTTGTTAACCGCGGATCAAAATAATATCGAATTGCAAAGTGAACGCAGTTCTGCCCATGAATTCTGAAAATTGTAGAAAATTTGTCAACAGGTCGTAAATTCCAAATTGGAATCGTCGATGTAATTTGCCAACAAACTATACAGCAAGAGACCAAATAGTATGATTTGTCACATGGCTCTGCTCTACTACCAGTTTTTGTTATCAGTTCTGCGCGATACATGACGAAGTATAATTACACCGACAAATGGCAGAGAGTCTGGAAGGAAGACCGAAGGAGGAAAAGAGCACGTATCAACCTGTGTGCACACATGGACAGTGTGTGTGCAATAATAGTAAATCTTTCCGGCAAACTAATTGATCTGAATTGCATCTATTTCGCAATAGATGTCAAAGTGTCCTCAAATGGAATGCAGTCATTCACACTATCATCGATTGCCTCACCCCTTTTTAATGATCTGAATCTTTCAATGTATCCGAAGAGTGGCTCGAGCTTTTTGTCACGCTAAGCCAGTTGAAGGTAGGTGAGGTATAATGCTTGTGTGAAAGTTGAAGCCTTGTATCGCCCATAGATTTCGAGCTAACCTGATTTCCCGGGAAATCCCAGAGACTTGGGAGAAATATCTCCTGGACGTACGTCTTCTGACGGCGCTCCCGGTTTGGCTACGATATACTCTTCCAGTTTGAGAGTAGGTTCTTTTGGACCACTCTGTAGCATGAACTGCAAAAAAATAACATTAATGGGTAACAAGATTAAATTATTATGTTATTATATTATATTATTGAATATTATTAATTAAATGTTGTGTATATATATATATATACACAACATTTATATACACACACCCACACACACACACACACACACACACACACATATATATATATATATATATATATATATATATATATATCCAGGCTAGGTGGAAGGCAACTTGTGATTGCCGCAACAGCCCTACTGCTCTGCCATTGCAGCGCTTGCCTTCCGCTATGCGCCGCCCTGCCGCTGCTTTGCCCGTGTAGTGGTGGCGAAATTTGGCGAAACACCGATACATAAAAAAGTCACCCATGTTTCAAATACCGAAGTTTTAAATATGATGGCACATTTCGAAGGAAAATAATATGGCTCTAATGTAATACATAACGCGTCAATATTTAAAGTACATTCTGCCTTAAATACAACTTGCATCCTAATTTTCTAATCAATGGATTTATGGTTGAAATTGCAGTTTAACAATATTAACACACACAAAATAAACAAAAAAAAGGTACCACTGGACAAGGTTGCGAAGACCAAGCGGTTTCGTGCAGCCTCGGGATCAACAAATGACAATTGTCAATGGCTGTTGATTGCAAGAAAGTAGATACTGGAAATTTTATTTAGATCCTGAGATTTTTTGGAAAACATCGATCTTTCTGCACAAATATATCGGAATGAAGAAAATATCGAAAGCAAAATATCGATGTTCCTACTCGAAAATTTCGATATTTTAAAAATATATATTTTGTTTGTCCATCCTTACGCCCGTAACACATGGCGTGATGCGCCCGTGGCCGGGCCTTCGGCGTGCCGCTGTGTCGCCCCGACCCACATCATGACCGCGCCCGCCCTTCCGACCAGCGCCGGAAGTCCGGCCTGATGCACTTTTATGTTTTTGTTTTTGGAGTGAATAAACGCTTGTTCTGTAAAGTGGCACTCAACCTTCATTCCTTTTTTGTTACGAAGGTGCCTCCATCCTCCCCCTACCGGGAGAAATCTTGTGATCATCCCACCCCACATATACGTATGTGTTTTTATTAACGATTCAGCAAGTCAAAATATATGTTAAGTATAACAGAAAAAAGGGGTTACGTAATTAGCCGTTTCATCTGCTGATTTGGAGATCTCATTAGTACAAATAAAACAGCTACAAAAAATAAAACAGCAATTAAGAATAGTAAAAAAATTCAAATATTCGTGAAATTGCAAAATGTACCTTAAATAAAATGCCATACACATGCGAACACACAAAAAGCATATTACACTCTCACCAGGGATTGATTTAGACTATTTGAATGGAATATTTGAAAAATAGATTTACAGTGATGGTCGTGTTGAATTAACTCCCCGTTAATTCCGAACTCCGCGAAGATGACGACCACGTGGGTTTGAATTTTAACATCTAGTCCTTGAAAGTTTTGGACATAACTTGCGCTACGAAGATGTTGAATTTGTACAGAAAAGGATGGAGTTAATGTGCGCATTTCATGAAGGTCATTTAAGAACTAGATGTATGAGTATGTAGGTATTCTACCTTCATTTCTGCTAACGCTATAAAAAACTTTATGGTTTTTTCAACTGACTTGTGGGCCAATTGGATATAGGGGAGACCGGGGCAGGTTGTCTCACGGGTTGATTAACACAAGTTTCCGTTACCAGACGCTATTGGTCCCTACCAACCTAAACTCAAACCACAGTAAAATAACATTCCGAAGTGGTGTATGCTGTTTTGAGTTCCTGGCGATAGTTTTCTAGAAGTTATTGTTCTTTTTGTGTTTTTGCAGACGTAAATACTTATTTATTGATTCAATTAACGCTGGTTATTCACTCTCGAGATTACGTGCAATGTTTGTGTTTCCAGCTCATCTCTTGATAGAAAGAACTATGCGGGGTTAGTTGTCATAAAAAATGTCGGGATGATAGTGTCATGTGATAACCTACTCCGGCAAGTATTTTCAGTAGCTCTTGCCGCTCGATTCAGGTAAAGATGTGCATAAATTATAAAAAAAGTCTAACAGAGGAGAACTTCCAGGCATCATTCGTGCAGCAGTGAGGAAAATATAAAAAATAAATAATTCAAGTACACAAGATACAGCAATTTTAACAGATTCACCAGTTAAAATAAAGCTTCAAGAATTAGCTGAAAAGGCAAAAAGAAAATTAAAGAAAAGTCTCTTGAAAAAGAACAACTGAACATAATGACAATGCAAAAAAATGAAAAGAAGTAAAACGCAGGAGGAACGAAAAATCTCAACGAAGAGACGAAGGGAATGATTGCTCGGGTTTAATTTGTCTTGAACCGTTTTCTTACAGTAAAGCTAAAATAAAATGGAACCTGTGTATAGAATGTAAAAAGTGAGCTCATGAATTATGTACCCATGAACCAAGTGATATTTAATCGTATCAAAATTATGAGAGTGCGCTTGAAAGTGACTAGGCTCACATCAGATATTTTCTTAAATCTTCCTTTCAAGAATTTTTTTTTCTAAATTGGTCTTTAATATGTATTATTTCTTTATCAATATCATAGATTGATTTTTATTTTAATACAAATATTTTTGCATACCTTTTAATGTGTATTCTTGCATCGAACCTAACCCGTGACAACCAACCCCAATGTCTGTCCAGTTCAATAGGTCCGGACAGGTTGTCTCAAAAAATTACTCTGACGGAACATTTTTTCTGACTAGCCAAATCCTGCTCCGACCTCAAATTCGTGGGAAAATGTAGCCAAGGGTTCATACAATGGGATACATTAATAATAGAAAAGAAAACTGGAAATAAAGCCTCTTCGAAAATTAAAAATCTAAAATTGTGACAACCTGTCCTATAACATTTACAAGTATAACATGTATAAACGTTTAAAAGTTCTATTCATAAACTCCGCAATAATCAAGAAACCGTAACATATAACTGTAATATTGAACACTGAAAACTAGGTGACATTTAATTTTTAAGAATTTTGAAATTAGAAAACCACTTTACAGGTAAAGGGATAATAACACACGAGAATTACACTATAATGTAATTTAGCTCATATGCACCATTTAGTCCTTTATAGTACCTGCATTCTGTCCACGTCCGAGTCAATAAATTCAGCTTTAGTTGTGGTCAATTCCATTTGTTGTATCATGACATGGAGAAGAGTGTGAAGGATGTTAAAATTTACAGCTCCGACCTGAAATATTACATTAATGTCATTTAGTTCACTTCAATACTGAACAGAAGGGAAAATCTCATAAAACTGAGATATCCTGGATTTATTAACTTCAAAAATGCTTTTCTTTGAAACAATTTCGTGGGAGAACAATAAACTTATGAATTCAACAAGGATAATTATATAGTTTTTACAACAGTTCTCAAAGATTCTTCAAAAATAAATTCCATACGAATTAATATAATTGATCGCTTGGAGAGACTGCAAATAAAGTTGTGAAAATTATTGACATTAAAAGAAGCTTATATGATACGATTTTAAAATAACACTCTTTCCACAATTCTATTCATTTAATTTTATAATCTATGGCTGAACCATGATATTTTCATGGTCGTTGAGAAATATTTAAATATGCATTAATTCCAAAGTACAGTTAATTGGAACTTTTAGATGGAAAGTATTATATGACAAGTACTTTCTGTCAAGTCTGAAAACATCTACACGTCGAGGAACAATTGAATAGTATTATGCCATAAAAAAGTTTTTAAATTCGTGCTACATACCAGCTGACTACCTGACTATGAACTAATTGACTAAGAAAACTACCTGAATTTGAACTAATTCTAAATAAGTAGAATAATGAATTTTGGGTTGTTTACTTAAATGAACTCTCAGTTTTGCTTTTGGTAGAAACGAAAGACTTAGAAATTGAAAATATCTTTGAGGCTTCATGTAAAGTATCCGTCAAAATCAAAATTTCGTTTCCTACTCGTAGTGCTTTATATCGTGCCTTTATATCGATTGGGGAATACAAATTTTGGAGAAAATCGACTGAACGGCTTTGTTCCTAGCCATAGTGGAAAGAGATGGGCGAGCTCTTGCGCATCGTATCCGATAGAGCCAATGAGCTTCAGGCACAAGTTTGCTTCACAATATTAGCGGGAATTTTAAATGCCAAAATTATCACATTACAAGTCATTGAAACATATGAAATACTTTTTTTAAATAATGCATATTTTATTTCAATTGCACCTTCATCGTGTTATATTTGGTTGGTCACTGATGAAAATTGTCACTTTAAGCCACTTTTAAAATGTTTCTCAACACTTGCTCCCCTTACAACATAGAGGTCAATGTTTGGTCTGACTTGTGAAACGAAGCGCCATTGTTGTGGTCACGTGGTTCGTGACGCAAACTGGTGCTGCGAAGAACGAGCAAAAGTCGATGCACCGGGAGAGCCTATCCATCTCTTTCCACTATGATGCAAGCGTTGATCACAGAGTGACGGACAAACACTTTTTGCCGTCAATCGATTTTTCAATACAAAGGGAGTTTTACATCACATCATAGCAAATAAATACGCTAGTACTTCACTTTAAGTACATTTTGAAATGAAAAGCATTGTTAAACAAAAGCTCTTTTAATTTTTTAAGATTTTTTTAAAAAAAATTGGTATTTACCTCTGGGGATCCCAGAGCGAGATCCAGAAGCTTCGGAAGCGACATTTGTAGACTGTGATCGTAAACCATTTTGGCTGATATTTAATTCTGAAAAAAATGATTCAATTGACACTAAAATACTAAAATAAAATAAAAATGGTTTAGGCTACAACATCACATACTTGCTCATAATATTGAATATATATTTAATCATATACTGTAGATCATTCTCTATTGATAAAAACAGGGGAGTATGAATTGGGATACGAGCTGCGACCATTGCTGTATAACCTCGTCGTGCAGTTTGGCTAACCTCAGAGTACGACATAGGCGCAAGCCCAGCGAGCTTGAGCAGCGCGCTCAAGGGGTAGTCCGCATAGACTACGAGAAAGGAACGGTACCCACAATCCGCCTTGACTGCAAGGCCGGGACGCTGCTGGTAGGAGCTGGCCCGTTAGCGGGCTGTCGTGCCAAGTACAGACCAAGGCCCACTACTCCTAAGGTGAAAGATGAGCACCAGCGTAATAAACATTGTACTCTCCGCCATATTGTAGGCAGATTCGGGGCGGTCATAAAATTCTGTAGTTCTTAACGCTTTTTTCATGGGATATTACGGTCTCAAATCTTCGATATTCACGTTACGATGCCATTATGTAAATGTTGCTATGAACTATAATTGGTAAATTACGAAAAATGAAAACGTATTTTAAGAAAAACGAATTTGGAAATAGTTCGTGTTGTTTGACTTACAATTGGAGCCCTTTCAACCCACATCGAATAAACATTATATTATTATTTTTATGTTGGTGTAATTATAATTCCCAAATTTCTCTAGATAAATGAAAAAGAAAAAAATGTTAAAAAGAACAAACTAACAATAGATAATCCCTTGATTACAATTAAAGCAGTTATTTTTAAAACCCCGCAAGTCAGGAATTGTAAAGTTGTGGGAAAACAAGAAAAAACGGAATAATTAAATTTTTTATTTCTAATGCATAAATCTTGATTAAGAATGCCATGGAGATATGTAATTTACTTGTATCAATCAACTTATGACTTCAGCATTTCAAAAACCCATAAGATTTTTTTTTTACTTAAACATGTCAATAAATACACATTGCAGGTTCAGTTTGTAATTTGACACATTTATTACAATATTATACATGTAATGATAATGTGAGTATAAATCAAACGTGATTCGTATGACAAATAGTTGTTAGAAAAATGTTTTTCTACGATTGTAGATACGAATATTTCCGTATTGAACATCCCTTTTAACAAATCGCTCTGTCAGTGATATCCCAGTCATTCACACTGTACACAAGCATACATACATACATACATATATGCACAGTCAATGAATTACAGAATTTCAAAACCAAACCAAAATTTTGCAGTGTCCTCAGGGCCATTCTATTCATCTTATTTACTGGCTTTGTACATGGAACGATGCATCTATCCAGCAGATAGCGCGAAATAAAAACAATTTTCTTTTCAATGTGAGAGCTTCTATCCGTCATTTTATCTAAAGAAATCAAATCTAAAGAAATGAGCAATGCAGGTAAAGATCTCTCACAGGAGATACCTCGAACTCCTGAAAAAGAACTCAAATTATTGAGAACGTTGCGAAGGCATGACTGATTCTCCAGAGATTGGCATTGCTTCATAAAATCTAGTGTCCAATTTCGAAATACCCGCCTCTACCCACATTTCTTCAATATATCGTTCAAGTAAATAACGAGTAATACTGTTCCAACATTGTTTGATATTGCAAACCCACAAAAAACTTCAGCACAGATGAGAAACGCACCAAATGAAAGAATTCTAAACCTGTAAAGTGGGAAAGAAATCTAAAAATGGGTTGGATCATTTAAAATATTCGAAAAGTATAATAAAAATGATTTACCAACATATCAGTACTACATTTCTTTGACATTGCACAGGTTTAGATCTTCCTTTCTTTGTGTGTTTTTCTCTTCTGTGCTATAGTTTATTGTGAATGTGCAATACATGCAGCGAAAATTAGACCTTAAACGCTTTAAGCATTTCAGTTTCGTTAAACCAAACATTCGGTGACATTGGGCTTTAACAGTATGAAAATGCAAGTGTATTCGAAGCAAATATGATCTGCTCGCTAATTTTCAATCAATGAGTTGACGGTATTATTTCTGTGGCCTGAGTGGCTTGCTGCTGGTTTGTTTTAAAAAATAAGTATAAATAATTTATAATAGTAGGTATTTTTATGATTCTATAATTAGTCTGAATTTATTGCATACACATTTTTGTTTTATATTTCTTGTTGTAATAGATTGTCGATTCAGCTAGCTATTGATTTTTGAAAAAATTGCAAACCCTTAAAATTTAGGGAGAACTTTAAGCTAATGTAAAATTGTGCGCTATCTTTCGATGTTTTATGCTGCACTGTGTGAGTTAGTTTAATGGACATTGTGTGAAATACGCTCGCAAGGAATGGTAATTCCTTTTTTCCCTACTATTAGGTAATGTATGTGAACTGATTTCAAAACCCCTTAAAGTAAAATGATCACTGCTATTCTTATGGAGCTCAATTATAAAAATGTTTTACTACCTTGGTCCTTTCAGAGCTGAAGTTATTGGAATCTCACCATCTCACTAGCGGATTCAAAGCGCAAATGATATTCATCTTGAAATCGTTGTCTACTGAATTAGTTCACGCCCAGGAATTAAAATGTCCATTTCAACTTAAATGAACTGCGGGCGAACTGGAAAAATAAAATCCATCATCAAAACCTTCATTAGTGACATGTGGAAAAAGTTGTATAAATTTTAATACATACCCTACATATATGCGTGAAATTATTACTTACCAATACTTAATTTTCAATAACTTTTGAGATTTTATTTGCACACAAATAATTGATATTTTTAACTGAGTAGATTTTTTTGATTTTTTTAAAACAGTAATTGAGATGTAGAACCTTTAAATTCTGTAATATACGGCAATGTTCTTTGCGCTGGAATAGGCAGCGCCTTAACCCGTTTCTTCCCAAGCATTAAAATATTTACTTTATTTCATACAATTCAGTTAAATATTGATAAATGACCCCATGAGATTAAGACCAGTTTCAAAAAAATATTTTGACACTGGAGCGGGACTGATCATTGCGAATATTCGTTAGGACTTTTCCGGAAAGAAATTGTACGAAAAACTTTTTAAAGAAATGTTGATATGTTCTCAACTAATGTTCACTAATTGTACTGGTATGCAAATAGAATACAAAATTACTCATGAAGATGTAAAAAATCAAATGGAATTTAAGGTTAGATTCCACCTAAAAGGTGAGAAAAATATCTAATTTGTTGTGGTTTTTTTTTTTTCATTTTAAAATGATCTCTAGACGTTTCTCAACATTTTGAAGTATTTTGTTGAAAAATTCTTTTTTTATTTCATTGTGTTTTGAATGTACATCAACACAGACACGCTGGCCGTTTCGCAAGATATATGGTTTCACACAAACATAGTTCTGAAAATATTATCTCTCGAATGCTGTGGTTTTCATAGTTTCATATTCAGTTACCTTATTTATCTGTGCAATTTGGCGGGCGTGTTGTTCTTCTGCTTTTAAAGTGTTATTTTCTCTCGCTTGAGCTAAGTGGTAGGATAAAGTGGCGTGAGAAATAAATGTCAAATAGTTCGAATCAAATAATAAAACCGAAAGGTGTTTTTAAATAGCTTGTGAATAAAATAATTGATTCAGTCAAATCCCCCCTTGCCCCTAGCATAGGTTTCAACTGAGAAATAACCAAAACAGACAAAAGGAAGAGAAACTGCTTCTAGATATCAACAATAAAATGAGGCAAATTGTTTTTACTTAAAAAAATTCAACGAATATGATGGGCAATTCTTATAAAAATCTTTAAAACCTCACAACACAGTTTTTCAATACAAATGCCCAGTTGTCTCAAACTATTAAACCCACTTTCTTGATTCCTTTACAGATTACTCTACTTTACATCTGTGAAGCTATGGATCTACATTTGTGCAGTTAGCATTATTTGTTTTAATTTCATAAATAAATTTGTCATTTTTATTTAAATATGGAGGTCCGAGAAAAAAAATTATATTTCAATTTCCTGTCATGCAATTTTTTTTCAATGTAGATCACTACAACAACATAATGAATAATATAATGTACAGTAAACATTTCAAATTGGAATCTTTGATAGTTTCTGAGATAATGGGTCATCAATATTACGAATTTAACATGGGTACATAGGAAGGGGAATGTATTGGATATATTGACACAAGTGTCAGACACTTATAAACTTTATGTTCTCTGAATGTATTGTTTTGGACGCTAATTATATAATCAATATGGCCATTTTGTCTGTCTCTCGATATCTTCTGATTATAGTGCTGTAAACTAACTTGTAATTTGGGTTTCCGCTATCCATATTATCATTAGTAGTCGCCCTTCCCCCTCGCTTCTACGAGAAGGGACTCAAAATCAATCCAATTTTAATTATTTACAGTTGCTGAAATGTAAGTATTTCATGCTAATCAGACACATGAAAATCTCATAATGCTTCGTCATTATGTAATCATACACAAATTTTGTTTTGAAACAACGTTCTCAGTTGTCACATTTCTATTTGCAAACAAATACATTATTTATAAATAACAAGAAATAGTGTAATACGTTCTGAAGTTTACCAAGTAACTGCAAGTGAAAACCGGGATTTTCTTTAAATCCCGACTTTCTTCCGTCAAATTGCAAATTTCCCCAAACATTCTTGCCTTCTTTGGTACTCCTCAACGAACATATAATGGGTTCAGAAATAGTTTTTGGTCTCTGACCTTGCGCACCACTACTTGAAACCATATTTCACAGGTCTCACTTGTTTTAGCTAAGTGTCGCCCCAAGTATGAAACTTCCTTCTCATTATTGTTAATAAATTCTAGCTAAATATGCCGGATTGCATACATTTTTTGTTCACTTCATCAAAGAATAAGTTTAATGTTACAAATTTTCATTATTTGTCTAAGGAGTTACATATCGAAAGGTGTAGATCTATTTTTGTTTCCTCAAACCTGTTTCAAGACTTTTCTTGCACAACTGGAGACTTCGGAAGAACGCACAAACTCTTTCATATAGGAATGTTCAACTGCGCTATGCCGTGTTGAGTGCCGAGAAAACTGTGGAGATTACGTTCTTTGGCATATCTATTAAAAGAACAATCCAAAAATAGCACCTTCTTCCTAATGCAAGTGCGTTCACAAAGTTTCAAGACTGATCTCAGAACAAAACATTTATTAAATATGTTTGTACAGCGAACTAAAAGTCTTCGAATATGACCCTTGACAACACACCGCTGCCATCGTTTTTTCCATCGCTCGTGGGTTCCCTGGAACTCTTCATGCAGAAGTCTGTCAAGGGACCTCGTCGGAGCTGTCTGGATTGCTGAAATAGTGTCGAAACGCCCCGCCCCTAGAAGTTTCTCTTGAAGTATTTCTGGGGAACAAAACTAAGTCACCGAAAGCTAGGTCGAGATTGTAGGGTGGCTGCGACAGTGCTGTCACGTTGAATTTGGCCAAAACTTTGCCGGCGGTGATCGAAGTGTGAGAGGGTGCATTGCCATGGTGAATAACCCAATCGTCTTTGAACTCCGGGCGGACATGGCGGACTCGATCTATTTATTTATTTAGTCAAAAAATAGTAAAAACTATGTGACGTATGGGGGGGGGGAGAAGATCATCAAACGGTGGAATACTACAGCATAAATTTCAGTTCATCGGCAAGTCATCTAACATGAAGGCGTCAGTGTTCAAAAGTTCACGAACTTTCTCCAAATTTTCATCAATTCGGCTTGTTGAAGGTCTCCCAGCGCGGTTATAGTTTTCAACGTTCTGGCGGCTATCTCTGAACCTCTTGTGTCACAAACATTTCTCGTTAAATGGCTTCTTTAAAGGACTCTCGAATCGTATCGAAAGTCTCTATAGCGTTTTTGTTCAGTTTCGCTCAGAACTTTCTCAAATAACGCTGCTCCAAATGCCGCTGCATATTTGGCTCTCCAAGTTTTCGACAGGGGACAATGGCACGCACTGACGCCACTATCGATCTGCTCACTCCAGCATCTCAAGAGACAACTGCCACTAGTGCCGTCAGTTAGCTGGCATCCCCCACTACTTCACTGTCGGCGGAAATGGTCTGCGCGCCCTCTCCTACTCATGTAAAAACACTCTTTTGAAACTTTATGAACGGACCTTATCTTACATATTCTTCGAAATACTAATAGTTAGCCTTTACTAAATTTCGACCATTACCGAATTTTCCGGGAAATTCTCAACGTAGAAAACGCAACACAATATTTATTTGGCTACAGAAGTATATTTGAAAATCACACACTACTCAAAATCAACATTAACACTGTTACATATATTTTGCAATGTGATGACAAGACGTCGTGTAGGTCACCAAATTCTAGATCAAAAGGCAATGAATTTATAGAGGCGCCGCAAGAGGATAGGCGCATTGTTACAGAAAACAATCAAAAATATGTAATCGTGGCATATTTATCGAAAAAAATCATTTTAACCTTATTAAAAATTATACTTACTGTATAAATAATTACAATTTGTTCATAGAAATTTATAGGTAAAATAAAATAGTGAACATTGCGTTGCGTTTACGCAACGTGGGGAAGAAATGAGTTTGGACCTTTCGAGATAATGGTTTTGGCAGAGTCTTACACACATTTCCGGTAAAGGAAAGTAATACCAGTTTTAAAACTTTAAATATAATTTTGTCTTACATTTAAAATATAACACTGAGTCCAAAAAATTGATATTTTATTTTTCGACAAAGGATCAGAATAGGTTGTAAAAACATGTCACGACCTCAAGTTATCTCATCGGGCTGCATTTGAAAAGCAATGTTCAATTGTTCGCCTCTACTTCGATGTGTTGTGATAGTTTTGAAATTTTTATAGCCATAATCTTCACCTTAAAACCCCCATCTGTGAAGTCATGAGTGTCACATTTTTCATCGTTGTAGCCGTCAGAGACCGTTCGCCAAACTTTTTACCTGATAAGAGCCTGAGCGCAAAATACAAATATAAAATTAAGCAACAGCAAACCAATAACTCCCAGTAATTCAATACTTTTTTGATTTAAAATATTCATTTACGCGTGCATTTTATAAAATACTTAATTTTAATTATTAATAAATTAAAAAATATTAATGAGCACATCACAGGTATTATCCTATTATCTACCATAGTATCTGTGGTAGTATAATACTAATAAAGTGTAGTATGTAACCATATTACTAGCAATTAATTATTGAATTGAATTAATGCCTATTTTACGTGCCGAGACTTGGGCCACCAGGCCCGCTCTTCCGTCTGACCACGCAAATTTTGCTACGCTTCTTTCACCAACTAGCGAAGAAACGAGGTATTTCTTGGGCGACGAAACGAGATTTGAATTTTGCTCAGAGGCGTCATTTAGGCTTGAGGATCTTTTACATGCAAGTAAAGCTACTAACATGGGACAGCCGGCTTTACTTCCCCTCCGAAGGAAGGCGTAAGAAGGATTTTCTCGCCCTTAAAAATCCACGGTTTCGTTCGGGTTTGAACCCGCCAACTTCGGTATAACAGTGCGATAAGCTAACCATCGCTATATTATAGATCATGAAAAAGATTTTAAATCTTATCATTTGTTAGTGTTTTAAACGAGAATTATGAGTATAAAAATATACTT